GGACAGCGCTCGGGATTCGTAGCCCTAGGGTCCGGGATCGATCCTCCGACCCAAATGGGCAGAGTTTCTTTCACCTTGATGCCCCTGTTCACCTAGCAGTAAATAAGAACCTGGGAGTTAGACAGCTACTATGGGCTGCTTCCTGGGTGTCTATGTGGAGAAAAAAAAAAAAAAAAAGCATTGAGCTCTGGTTCAAAGAGCCAGAGCTCAACCCCCGCAAGCACAACTAGGCGAGTACACACACCACAGTACCACTAGCAATCTGCCCCACACATTATCCTAGTGAAGCTAATATGCTTGTTTTCCTCTTTTCTCATATACTGCATCCTTATTTTCGTCCTACGACTTATCACACCAAAAAAAAAAAAAATAAATAAATTAATAACTGTAATACAGTACCAGCCTTTTATACATCATAACTTTTCAAAACACAAACAGCTGGTCATATTGATCTCATAACTCTGATTACCATATCAACAACATGCAGAATTAATGAAGAGAGATATTTCAAACGTTGCAGGAGTAAGTTCTTGGCTTAGAGGTGTGGAAAAGGCTGGGTCTTAATGTGTTTCAATAAGACAACAACTGTGCCAACTTGTTTGAAATGTACTTCTTTACATTTCCAAAATATTACATATACCTGCTTGATGGGGAATGCTTACATTAAATTTCTATTTTGAAAACCTATGATCACGAAGGATTCAACTTCACTCTACTTTTCCAACATCATTCATGTCATCATTTTTTATTTCCTTTTGTTATTCACTTCACTATAGTAAACCTCTCCAAACTTGTACACTATACTCACTGTCTTCACTTTCAGCATACTACAAGTTTCTGTCTCCACTGTCAGCTTATCAGACACATATCAATCTTCCATCTTTGCTGAAAACAATAATTAGCTATTATCTGTCATTCAAACTTTCGACTAATCTATAAAGTTGTCATTTTAACATTACATAAGAACAGTGCTAACAAAATACAGTATAGGAGTTACAGATGTCATAACAATGATCACTCATTATTCCCTTACAAATTCAAGATCACTGAATATACTTTCTTATGGAGGCTTTGCACAGGATACTGTAACACCTCTATGTACTTCTTAATTCAAATGTTTGCACTCCATACTCTAATGCACTCTTTAGATACTCACTCCAGCATGCATCTTCAACCGGGATTTATCTTAGTCTATCAAACCATCTAATATAACCAAACGTCCCCATCATTTTAGGGGAGCATTACAAGCTTCCAAAGATTTTTCCATTCCATACATTCTATTAAATTATAAATTTATTAAAATAATTACCTTAAAATAGTTACCCACCTGTCTAACAATACCACATTCTCTATTTATTTATTTACATATATACAGGAGTTCTTACATTCTTGTACAGCCACTAGCACGCATAGCGTTTTGGGCAAGTCCTTAATCCTATGTTCCCCCGAATACGATCCGCCAAATTGTTTAACAACCAGGTACCCATTTTACTGTTGGGTTAAACAGAGGCTACAGTTAAAGGATTTACACCTGGTAAATCCTTCTGGGCCAGGATACGAACCCAGGACAAAGCATTCGCAAAATGCCAGGCGAGCATCTTACTACTACGCCACAAGGCCTGTATTTAAAACAAGATGGCATATACACAATTTCATCTAACCATCAGTCTAGAGACTGACCTTGTGTCTCTAGATCCTTGTGTCTCTAGATCCTTGTGTTAAAGAGCACGAAGCTAAAACTAATTTCATAAAGAAAGTTGTATGCCAGCTTGGTTACTTTCTTCATAAGCAATCGCAGGACAAAATAAAAGGAAATACTGTACTGAACATATACAGTATTAAGAAAAAAAGGAACTGCAAAATCCAAGGTTATTACCAACCAGACAACCCCTTCCAAATGCATAGTGCTTTTATTTAACCAATGAGACAGCAAATTGCTCCCCCAAAACACAGCACTGCCTTCATTATTACCCCAGTTCCGATTTCCATGGGAAAGAGAGGCATCAGCTCAGAGAAGACAAGATTTGAGACCCTAGCCACAGAGTAAGCTGTGAATAAAACATCATTGAAGAGCAGAGGCATCACATTATTCAATGTGTTGCCAAAGGGGTTTCTTCAAAGCATTCACAATGTCACAAAAATGATGTACTGTACTAAATTGCCCTATCCTAACCTACTCAAGGATCCACGAATAGAAAGGAGAAATCCCATCAATTTTGAAGTCAAAATGATTTTTAGTACATCTTGCTTCAATACTGGGGATTTTTACATCAAAATATGATGTTATGCAAAAGGACAGATTGTTTAAAACAGCATCCTCTAGTAATAATTGTGACAAAACATCGATAGAAGAGTTTCAGTGGCATTAATAAGTGTGCCCCAAATGCTGTGCATAACTAGTGGCTTTATATGCAGGCGATGAGTCACAATAACATGGCTAAAGTATGTTGACCAAACCACACACTAGAAGGTGAAGGGACGACGACTATTTTTATTATATTTTATATAATAAAAATTACTTTACCAACTATGGAATTACTTTAACATGTCCAAAGTATTGTATGTTTAGTGACCTAATATCCCCCAGAAAAGGGTTTATTATTAATATAATATTAATAAATAATAATAATAGTAATAATTATTATTACAGTGGTACCTTGATTAAAGAATTTAATCCGTTCCGGCACCGAGCTCGTCATATGAAACGCTCGTCTTTCGAAACGAATTTCCCCATTTAAAATAATGGAAATAAAATTAATCCGTTCCACCACCGAAAAACATCAATACGTATATTTGATTTTTTAAATAATGGAGCACCCTACCTGACATACACTGAACAAACCTTTGACATGTTTTCTTTTTTTAAATTTGTTCAATTTTTTTTATTTTTCATTTTTATTTTTTTTTATATAAAATAAGAGCAGTCTACCTGACATACACTGAACGAACATTTTTGACATTTGTTCTTTTTTCAATTTTTTTTTATTTTGTTTAATTCTAAAAAAAATCAATGCTTTGCAATTGTCACCCCTTTACATCCCAGCATCATCACCATCTTTAAAAAAAAAAAAATCATTTATTTGCATGTCAAAGGCGTCCAAGAATTTCTGAGAACCAGCGGGAACACTAGGAAGCATTACATGGTTTTCTCGTTAATGGAGTGGAAGCTCGTCAATCGAGACAAATTTTCAGGGAGTGGCTAGCTCGTTACTCGAAATGCTTGTAGATGGAGCCGCTCATCACTCGGGGTTCCACTGTATTATTATTATTATTATTATTATTTTAATACAGTACTATATGTCATTAAACCCTTTCAAAAAAGAACAATGTCAATTTAATGAAGCTAAACATGACTAATGTTACGAAATGCAGTTAAAAGGTTCGCTATTTTTGTTTTTAATGAAGGTTCCTTTGTGTTAGCCAAACCACTTGCTCGTCTGGTGGTTAGTGATAAGGCTTTACAGCAACAACTGTTATCAACCAGGAGTATTGTTGCGTCTCCACAACACTGATGGCTAGAGTTTTAAAAGATCCACAGCGTGCCCAATTCCCTCTCCTACAGTAAACAGTATCACATACCAATCACCACCACATTCCAGCAAGTTATCGACATCAGTATTGCTAATGCTTCACGTGGCTTTTTATGAGTAAGTAAATAGTATTTCTTGAAAGATGTCCTATACAAAATGTCAAACGTTCATTTTCCCTTCACAAACTGCTACCACCTTGTTCCTACCAGATTACATCTATTATACACACTCATTGTCCTTCCTCGTACTCTAACTTGTAATATCTACTCATCATCCTCTCTCACACTATACTTAATCATTCTGTATATACCTTATTCACATTTTAGCTTCTGCTCTGATTCACTTACTAATTCCATGGAAGTACAGTAGTTTTTTTGTTCTGTCTTTCACCCTTCTCACACAAACCAAACCATTCATGCTCACATTTGAACAGCCTTCTTAAATTACTGTGCACCTAAAACAAATGTCAAAATATGATACTCTCCACCTACTACTAATTACTTTTTCACTAGTTAACATACTGTACTCTCATGCTGATTTTTACTCTTCCTGTTGACTTTTTAATCAATTTCTTTGCTGTGCTTCCTCCCATTCTTAAAAAATAACAGCATTCAATTTTCACAAAGTTTACTTGCCTCCTTATTCCTTCATATTTTCTACCTCTCTAATCCTTATACAGTACTTGCATGCCTTTTCCTCTCTATTATTTACTTGCTTCTCTTTCCTCTTTACTATATATTCACAGAATCTAATTCTTTCTCCAACTATCACTTGCCCTTGCCATTTCCTCACCCTATATGTATCAGCTACTTCAAAACAATGTTATTAAGACAGCACATATTTTTATATACTGTATTCTCCTTGCTTACAGATATATTTAGGCTTGACTTGCATTGGTTGAGCTCTTATCTAGTTATAACATGTGCTTAAATTCCATAATATTAAGTTTGCACTGTTAGCTAATACCATTTATCTTTACATGACAGCACTACTGTACTTCATGAGGGAGGGAGGACGGAGGGAAAAGAGGGAGGGAGGGGGAAGGAGGAAAACGGGAGAGGGAAGAAAGGAAGAGAAAAAGGGCAGGAAGAGAGAGGAATGAGGGAAAGGGATTTGGAGAGAAATGGGGGATGGAAGAAAGGACAAACAGGGGAGGAATTAAGGTAAGTGGGATTGAAGGAAGGAACTTGGATGGCAATATAAAGGGTAGGAAGAGTAGGGAAGGAAGGGGGGAAAAAAGGAGGAAGAGGAAATAGTGAGAGAGTGAGTGGCAGGATGAGTAACAAAGGTAAGGAAGGGAAATAAGATGCAACAAGTGTAGCAGCAAGATCGAGTTCTGTTTCAATGAGGCAAACTAAAAACAAGCAAGACTGTCAGGGTTACACAACCTAACATGTCCTCTGGTTGTTGACCCCATGCAGGGTTTTTGCCCTTCAGTGACAACATGCTTTAATACAGTACTCCTCTTACCCATGTTTGAGTGCCCCCTGGTTGCTCCTCAGGGAGGGCATTTGTTCATTGGGTAATGCTGCTAGTGAGAGTCCATCCCCAGCTTCTTGGAGAACCACCTGTAGTGTGCCATGAAATTCTGGGGTGTACTTTTTCATTTCCGGTGGTAGCGTGCGGTAAAATCGATACTCCCGACCAATGAGTGGTTTGCAAACGGTTACATCATCCAAAACAAACATGGATGAATGGCCGCTCACTTGGTGTACCAGCGGTTCTAGCTGTGAAATAATAATGTTTATAATCAACCATCATTCTTTTGCATACCGCAAAATATATACAGAACACAATTAAGTTAACATATATCTATGACTAGGTCAATGCTGAAAAGCAATTAAGAGTGATATTCTTGACCTCTGCTACAACATATTCCACAACACACATGATATTGTACCTTTAAAGGACAGTCATATAAATACAAGTTTCAGTATATGTATATACAGTACAATAATTGTGTTTATATTAGTATATTTTTTAGTTCGTGTGTATATAAGCAATACTGAATCCGTTTTTTAAGCTTGTATACACCAAACCTAAAGAAATATTGACCCAAAATCTACCATGATACTGACTAAATCGATAATATCCTTTTTTACACTGTTAACCCTACCAGTAGTAAGTTTTCTCAACCTGCTACAAATCGAAAACCCTACAGTAATAGGAAAGTCCTGACCAAAAAGAAAAAAATTACTGGGCAACATTTTGACAACAAGGGGAAATGGACCAGGTATGATGGCAACTGCCAAGTTTTATGATGACCTGGACATGCTTTAAGATAGCTCAGATAGAGCTGATATCAACGCAAAATTTTATTACAACTGATGTCCCAGATGATATGTTCCTGAGACTGTGACTAAGGAGCTGAAAATCTTAAAAATCAAAGCAGCACAGTACACAGTCCCAAGACACACATTTATAAAATCTGAAAAAAATAGATCATTAAATGCTGTACTGAAAAATACTGCATAAAAGATACAGTTTATCTTTTGTAATGCTAGCGAGAGTTTAGAGGATCCCAACAGAGGCTGGGTTTCCAATGCATATACAGTATGTATTAATTCTAAACAACTTGGATTCCACACATCACGTTATAACCAAAAGCAGATATTGTGCCATGCAAAAATAATATAAAATTTCCAATAAGTCTCCAAGATGTCAATAGAATCCAAATGTAGGATCCCTACATATGTATGTACCATATGAAATTTTTCATTTTAATTACTGTAGTTTGTTTAAAACATCGGATAAATCTTCACCCAAAATATCCAGCTTTAAGTATTTATGAAAAGCAGTTCTCTGCGCAGGATGGTCGGTTGCTCCCCAAGACAAGATCCACAGGTTAGGATCTGCAGCAGTCAGGGACAGTTGACATTCCGCAACAGCTCGGTGGGGAACTTTTCAAACCATCCCCATCGGGTCATACTGGTGCTAGGGAGACACTGGAGAAAACTTCAATTCAGTCCAGAATATAAAGTGTTACAGTATATATAAACTCAAAAGCTTTTCCAGGATCATCATGGCAACACAGAGAATGCCAAGTTGTGCCTAGTTAATTACCTCGACTAGGTCACTACCACCAACCGCCACCAGGTGATAGCACCGACACCAGAATAAAGCCCTCCAGCCCAACCTTGCCACATTTACCCTGAATCGAAGGCTGAGAAAAACCGCCACCAAGCACAGGGGGAGCCAGGGAAGGGCAGGAATGAGAGCAACCGAGTATATTGCTCAGAAAAGTGCTTTTTATACGTACTCAAAGCTACATTTCTGAGCTATCTTACTTGGTTGCTCCCAAAGGCAAATATTGGTGAAAGCCACCCTAACTACAACAAGGGCAAGGCTCACCTGGGTTGCAGTGATGTAAGCAGGAGCTGTGGGGGTGGAAGCAGCAGGAGGAACAGCAGCCGTACCCCCTGGCACCCGACCCCGCCTGAGGAGAAGAGGTCATCATGATGAAAGCCTGCCCAAGACAACATGCTGCCACCAAAGGCAGAAAACCTTGGAAATGTAGCGGGAGGCAAATATTCAGGTAGACTTCCAAAACACCTGAGCTCTGATGTCAGCACAGGACATCGCTGAAAAGAACACTGTTAAAGTGGCAAACTTATGAAGATCTTGGGCCCTTCTGGAAGACAAAGACCTTAGTGCAAGGCACCATGAATCGAGGATTCAGAAAGAGAAAACCTGAGGTGGAGTAGCGAGAGATCAGAATATACTGTACTGAAGAGATGCTATAGAGCACATATTATGGTATACCATAAAACAAGTATGTAACCAGGCTTGAACCAAGATAGTTTCCCTCCAAAATGTAAAAGCCGCAAATAATTGGTTGAAATAGACAAAGAACTCCCCACAATCAAACAAAATAAACTCTAGGCAAAAGAACATGAAGTTCACTAGTATAATTCTCATCATCAAAGTCAAGAGGAAGAGAGTGAGCAAGATATCTTCAAAAGGAAGGAGAGACAGAAACCAAGAAAAGAAAGAAACTCCAGTATCTTATCGAGGGACTTAACAAGCTCCAAGGGAGGATGGAATTGTCAAATATTATAGAATGCCTTTTCAAGTTTAAGATGACAATGTAAGAAGTGGCTTCTCCAAAACTGTCGAATGAAAAGCTACTGCATTGTATCAGGAATGAATTATCTGTGCAAAAGAGGCAACTAAGAAAGTTAAGGTCAATAAATGCAAAATAGAGTTGAAGAACCCACCAATCCACTCCATACTGGACTGTTCCTAGAAACTTCACATGCAAAAATCAGCAGAGCTTGAGGTGCTTCAGTAATACCAAAGGCCAGTAAAGTTACCTGTTCATAGAGCTCTTCAGCTTTTCAAGGAGCACCAAAAGCATCTAGACTGAGGGAAACACAAATTTAACCAAATGGTTCCAGCCGAGACTCAACAAGCCCACCGCAGAAACATCATGACTGAGGTTCAGCACCATATACCGGTATACAATATAAGCCGTAAATATAAAATATATATATATGCAGGTATATACTAAAAATATGCTGGTACTGTATATATAAAAGTGGTATTATGCAAATGAAAACAGATCTTCCTGAAGAATAACAAATTTCTTACATAACCATATCTTGCTTCCAGTTGAGCCCCATCACATGAAACCAGAAAACCATTTATGAAAACATTCGATACCCTTGAAATGTGGGCCGCTGTAAACATTCGAGTCTCAAAAAGTCAGAAGAGAACCAATGGCCAGTGTCAAAGGCCACAGTTAAGAAGGACCAGGAGCAGACTCCCCTTCACTTTGAGGTTCAGCATCACCAGACCACGGCTGAAGTGCAGAGACAGAGCTGAGCCCTTCAGGAGAGAGAGATGTTTGATTCCAATATAAACGGCTACAATTTTCCGGGTTTTGATGTAAAATGATAACTTTGGAGACCAGCAATCCTGACTGGCATGGTGAAGATTCGAGAGTCCTAACCCATGCCAGATGAGTTTGTAAAATGCTATAGGAAAGAAATTGTAGGCCTCCAAGGAATCAAATTCCAAAAATACTCCAGAGAAAACCTCCAAGGAGGATTCCTCAAGATTCAACTGTTTCAGTCGAAAGAGATGACAATGTGAAGCTAGTTGAGAGCAGGAAGTCTCCGAAAGGAAAACTGAGGACGACCTGATCTCCTATATCAGTTCCAACCAATAAAGGTATTGCAAAAGGTAGGAGTTTAGGCTCTGGCATGTTAAAAAGAAAGCCAAAGAAGCTCAATACGTGGTTCCAAACTAACAAGGAAGCACGATGACTGGGAACCAAATGAGCCACTTGTTGAAGTACAAGGCATTAATTTCCCCAAAACCCACCGTAATGAGTGGGACATGTCCTGTGAGTCAGACTTTATGGGGAGCTGTGGAAAACTTCCCCTCCACCATATATTTATGAATATTATATGGTGACCAAGTAATAAATAATAAACCATCATAAATGATGGCATGTGTAAGTCCACACTGAATAATTCATTACATGGGTTAAACAAACAATAACAATGGAAGAGGTGTACGTGACATCCCTCAAGGCTTGCTGGTTAGGGAAGAGCGCTTGCTGAATCATGCACGAACTTATCAAGTGTTGTAAGAATTCGGCAAATTTGGCAAATAAAATAAAAACCTTCCCCCCTCACCTGTATTACTTACTAATACTGCTATGAGGCACACAGGGGTAATAAATAGTTGAATGTTTTGTAAATATATTTAATAGGGATGTACAGTATCAATATACTGATATCTCTTATAGGATATAGATTATCAGTGGAATATACAATACTGTACAAGTATATTGAATTGATATCGGTATTATTTCTGTCGATACTGTGAATACTTTTACATCTAACTTCAATTTAAATTTTAATAAATTCTGTTTCAAATCATTGAAGGACTACAGGTATAGTGTTTGTATGAAATTAATGGACTTGATTACAAAACACATTAAAACGTTTCGGTCCAGGCATGACCCAAACGTCGTCATTTCTTAATTTTCTGATCTGTAGTTTGGTCATCATGAAATGAATACTTATACAATGCATACATTAATACTGTTATAAATTTTACTGTAGTAATTGGGACTATACTGTACCTCTTCTCAGAATTTAAGGATTGTTACCATCATTAAAATTTGTAAATCGGCAGATGCTGAGCAACATTTTTAGCCTAAAAAAATTTTGTCTTCTGACAAAATGACAAAGCTTACATTTCTGGTTACTGTATACTGCTAATTTCTTTTTTTTTTTTTTTTTTTTTAAGTACAAGGGTTCTTACGTTCTTGTAAAGCCACTAGCACACATAGCGTTTCGGGAAGGTCCTTAATCCTAATTTTCCCTGGAATATGACCCACCAAATCGTTTAACATCTAGGTACCCATTCGCTACTGGGTGAACAGAGGCTACAGTTAAGGACTAGCACCCAGTTAATCCTCCCCAGCCAGGATACGAACCCAGGCCAAAGCGCTCGCGTAGCGCTGGGCGAGTTCTTTACCATTGCCCCACAGGGACTGCAATTATAATTAAATATAAGGCTTGACTAGCTAGCTGGTTGGTTTATCGATTGGCCTGCTGGTTAAATGGCTTGCTGCTTGGTTGGTTGGAGTCCTGGATGATTGCATGGCTGGTTAGTTGACTGGCTGGCTGGTGGCCAAGTTGACTGATTGGTTGACTGGTTGTTTACTTTAGCTTGCTGATTCAGCTAGCCAACCAACCTTGTTTGTATGGTGGCTGGTTGGTTGTTCACTTGACTTGCTTGTATGGTGGCTGGTTGGTTGTTCACTTGACTTGCTTGTATGGTGGCTGGTTGGTTGTTCACTTGACTTGCTTGTATGGCAGCTGGTTGGTTGTTCACTTGACTTGCTTGTATGGTGGCTGGTTGGTTGTTCACTTGACTTGCTTGTATGGTGGCTGGTTGGTTGTTCACTTGAATTGCTTGTATGGTGGCTGGTTGGTTGTTCACTTGACTTGCTTGTATGGTGGCTGGTTGGTTGTTCACTTGAATTGCTTGTATGGTGGCTGGTTGGTTGTTCACTTGAATTGCTTGTATGGTGGCTGGTTGGTTGTTCACTTGACTTGCTTGTATGGCGGCTAGTTGGATGCATCGTTAGTTAATTGACTGGCTGGCTTGCTGAGTTCTCAATGTTGCAAGCAAATACTGTACAGATGAGTAGAAACACACTAAAAGAAGTTATGGAAGCCACCTCCATCCGCAACTTTAACCCTCTAACTGCTTTTATAGCTCTCAAGTGATATGGTCTGGTGCACTATTCGCCTATGGGAGATTTAACATGTTTTGTAACATTCAAAAGTCCTAAAGATTCTGTGGTTGTCATTCAATACATGGAGACCTCTGGCAATCATTTGCTATACAGGAAACAAATCTTGAGAGCCTTAGCTTTTTGGGGGGGAATTAATAAAAAAATATACAGTACACCAAGTCAAGTGCATCACCAATGATTTATTGACGCTCATGCTAATAACCATTGATGCCATGTAAAATTTCAAAGGCTTATGGACCTAAAATATCCATATTACAGATACTGTACAGCTAGTAGTTAATATGAAAATTAATTTTTAGAATTTGACATTTTCAACATCACTTCACTACTGTACAGTGGTACCTCGGAATGCGATTGTCCCTGTATGCGAGGTTTTCGGAAGGCGAGCAGTATTTACTCCAAAAATTTGTCTCGGAAGGCGATGGTTACTTCGGGACGCGAGTTTGTTGATACGCGTACAGGCCGACCTAGCGCGTGGTGGTTCGGCGATCGTCGCCCCTCTGCCCCGCTGCCCCTCAGTTTACCATTGTCTCGCGCTCAGTGACTACCCCCACATCAATTCTTCTCGCGGATTTTCAGTGTTTTGTTGGATTTTTGGTGATTTGTCTATACAATTTGTTATTATATATCTCACCATGAGTCCCAAGAAAGCCAGTGGTAAGGATAAAGGCCAGAAAGCTCATGTGAGGATGACAGTAGAGGAGAAACAAGAGATCATTCGGAAGCATGAGAACGGTACACGTGTTGTTGAACTTTGTAGGCAGTACAACAAAGCCACATCAACAATATGCACTATACTTAAGAAGAAAAATAAGATTACGGGTGCTAATGTGGCAAAAGGAGTAAGAACATTAACGGCACAAAGACCACAAATACTTGAAGAAGTGGAAAAGTTGTTATTAATTTGGATACACGACAAGGAGTTGAGGGGTGATAGTGTTTCGGAGGCCATTATTTGTGAGAAAGCCAGGGTGTTGCACAAAGACCTTCTAAAGAAGACCCCTGCAACGAGTGATGCAGATAAGAAAGAGTTTAAGGCAAGCAGGGGCTGGTTTGAAAAATTTAGAAAGAGAAGTGGTATCCATAGTGTTACAAGGCATGGGGAGGCAGCCAGCTCAGACAAACCAGCCGCTGGACGATTTATTGAAGAATTTAAAGAGTTTGCAGAGACTGGGGGATACCTACCGCAACAAGTGTTTAATTGTGATGAAACAGGACTGTTTTGGAAAAGAATGCCTAAGAGGACATACATTACCAAGGAGGAAAAATCCTTGCCTGGACACAAGCCTATGAAAGATAGGTTTACGCTTGTGCTGTGTGGAAATGCGAGTGGCGATTTGAAAATTAAACCCTTGCTAGTGTATCATTCTGAAAATCCAAGGGTTTTCAAACAGTATAATGTGCAGAAAACCCATTTGTGTGTGATGTGGAAGTCTAATAAAAAAGCATGGGTGACTAGGCTTATTTTTTCGGAGTGGGTGAATGAAGTGCTGTGCCCACCCATAGAAAAATATCTGCAGGAGAAGCAATTGCCACTCAAAGCCATGCTTCTCCTTGACAATGCTCCTGCTCATCCTCCAGGCTTGGAAGATGATTTGTTGCCTAAATACAATAAATTCCTCACAGTTAAATTCCTTCCTCCTAACACCACTCCTCTAATTCAGCCTATGGACCAGAAAATCATAGCGAATTTTAAGAAACTGTATGAAAGGGCACTTTTCCGGAAATGTTTTGAAGTGACTGAAGCCACAAACCTCACCCTCAAAGAGTTCTGGAGAGAGCATTTTAACATTTGTAGTGCTTTAAAACTCGTTGACAAAGCCTGGCAAGAAGTGACTCAAAGAACCCTGATCTCTGGCTGGAGAAAATTGTGGCCTGAAGGTGTGAGAGAACTAGACTTTGAGGGGTTTGAGCCTATAAATGATGCGCCTATTGTTGAGGAAATTGTTAGTCTAGGCCAGCAAATGGGCTTGGAATTGGATGGTGATGATGTGGAGGAGTTGGTGGAAGAACACAACGAAGAACTGACCACCGAAGAACTCCTAGCCCTTCAACAGGAACAGCAAGCCAACACAGCAGCGAATGATTCTGCAGTGGAGGAGGAGGTGGCAGCAGCACCAACAGCACCAGCGAATGTCCCTTCTGCAGTAATTAAGAAGGTGTGTCAGATGTGGGAAGAGATTCAAACAACTATTGAACAGACTCACCCAGAGAAAGCTGCAGTAGGCCGTTGTCTTAATCTTTTCAATGACAATGTGATGCCTTACTACAGAGACAGCTTGCGAAGAAGGGAAAAGCAAGCTTCCATGGACAGATTTGTGGTGAGGAAATCGAGCAGTGAGCCTCAACCAGGACCTAGTGGCACTCGGGTTAAACGTCCCAGGGAGAGCACACCAGAAAGGTCCTCACTGCCTGATGTGATTATGAAAGGGGACTCCCCTTCCAAACAGTAACTCCTCTCCTCCTCCCCCCTCCTCACCATCTTCCATACGCCTACAGCACTCGACAGCAAGGTAAGTAATAACTGGAACATAGTTTTGTAGGTTTATTTAGATGAATTAGGTAAATTAGGTATAAAAATTTAGTTTGATGTGGGGTTTTTGGGGTAGTCAGGAATGGATTAATTCATTTCCCTTTATTTCTTATGGGGAAATTAACTTCGGAATGCGAGTTTTCGGAAGGCGAGGCGTCTCCAGGAACGGATTAAACTCGCATTCTGAGGTATGCCTGTATAGCCAAACTAACATGATTGTAATTTTTCTTACCATCAGAAATATTTTACGATTTAAAAAGGAAAATTATTTATTTTTAATGAGCACGATGTACTGCTACCCAGTCGTCACTGCTAGGTAAGTAGTATTTGGCTCAATAATTTACTTGGGAACTGCTGCTGGTCAACACTTAATATGAGCGAGACAAAATGGTTTATCATCGCTGTCTACAGGTACAATAGATATTATCTATACCTTGCTGCTTTCAATTGAAAAGTTAGCCTATCAAGACACCCAACTCACAAATGTAAAAATAAAGAAAATGACAACATTTCGGGCCATCCCTGATCATTATCAAGTCGTGTGGTCCAGGATGAAATGAAACTTCTTCACTTCCTTTATTTTTCATATTTGCAGGATGGTTATCTAATTTTCAGCACGTTACACAGAAATCACAATAGCGTGATATATCAAATGAATAAATCCACAAGGGCCGTGATGAGGGGTTCGAACTTACGTCCAGGATGATCCCTTGGTGCATGGGGGAATTGTGTAAAACCCCGGTTTGTATCTTGGAGAGACTGTGGGATCCGTGTGTGAGCAGTAGCAAACCTGGTTGCAATTCTTATACCATGCAGTGGCGCAGTCGATTAAGGCACGTCTGGGATCATCCTGGACGTGAGTTCGAACCTTCATCACGGCCCTTGTGGATTTATTCATTTTCAGCATGTTACTGTGACTTATTCTTAGCTTAGCCTATTGAGCTCAGTGGCTTATTTCGGGTTGCACATACAATGGCTGTGCCGGTATGTGTGGGTAGCTAGTGACAACAGGTCACTGTCTACACCATAACCTGGAGACGATGCCAGTCAGGATGGAATGTGACAATGCTGAGCTGGAGGGCTTTATTGTGGTGTCAGCATTGCTACTTGCTGGTGATTCGTTGCAGGAGTAGTAAGCCAGGTGCAGCTTCGTGACCTCTGTATTTCTAAGTTATGGCTGGAAAAGCTTTTGAGTTTATGTAAAGTACTCTTCGGTCTATATTCTGGGTTGGAGTGTTCCTCAGTGTCTGCTTAGCACCAGTATAACCTGACAGGGATGATTTGAAAAATTTCCCAACTCACTTTTGGAAAATATCACCCTGCACTGATTGCAGTAGATCCTAAACTAAAGTCAGTTGGATCCTGCCTTAAGAAACAACCAAGTGGAATAGCTCAGAAACACTCATTAAAAATTATGCTTTATAATTAGTTACCATATCTGCTACCAGGAGACAATATAACTTTTAAGTAATATTGTACACTATATTGTATTGTCCTAATACTTGTTTGCTCTAAATCTGAAGTAATTTGCATTAGGCAATGAGAATAAAGACAAAAAATTATTACATATAAAACCCTGAACATTCAGTAATACAGCACACACACTGACCTCTACAAGCTTCATGAAATACTGTATTTACAAACCAGCCATATCTCTAGAGGCTGTGGCTAGGCAAGGTAGCCAGTGACTTATGGACGGTCCCCTTATCCTGGGAAGTATTTGTAACTGTTGCACTCTCATGATTTTATGGCTAAGGCAGGTACATAGTTGCTTCTAAGGGGCTCATTACCCTATATGCAAAAGACCACCTATTGCCTGTCTATATAGAGGCTTGGTGAACTTGAGTCGCACTGAACATATTCAAGAAGTGGTTTGGATTAATGTCTTCTAACTTATTCAGTATTTTAAGTATTAATGATAAGAGACTAAAATGTTTTGTTTGCAGAGCTGTTAGTCTTGTGGGCCTAAAAAAAAATTGGTATAAAAATTGACTTTGTTTTGAGATTATATCTGTCATTCTGTAGCTAGCTTTTCCAGCTAAATTATGTCCTCTATAAAAGAAGTTTGCATTTGCATAACCTTTTACGTTTCCTAGAAGTAAAAGATTTCATTGGTTATTCCTAGAGCTGGTTGGTCTTTTATAAAAGTTAACACCTACTGAACAGCTTTCAATGTCTAAAGGACTATTACTTCAAGGTCCTTCTCTTTGTCAATTTATTGTAAGGCACTGTTGTTAATAGGGCAGCTCCAATGGGTTTCATGATGTCCTAAACATAAGGGCTTGCATTTTTCAATAAGAAGCAGCATTTGCCAGTTTTTTTCTTACAATGTGTGAAGTTTGTGTTGGTTATTTAACAAGGCTTCACCATCATGTTCACTTCCAACTTGTAGCCAAAGGAGTGGCCCAAGTACATAAATGAAACTGGTTTGGCTAAGCATTGTACTTACAATGCTTAGTACAAAGCATTATAAGTACAATTAATGCTTGATCCAAAGGGACAATCAGTAAAGGAATGGTGCCCAATTATCTTACTCTATCCAGGATCTGAACCCAAGGGCTGTCACCTGTGAGGCAAGTGTGCTATACAACACGTGGTACAATTTGATGTAGTTTGGACTCAATGATGCTGCTGATGTAGATTATAGAATGCTAAAAGGGGAGGGGGGATTGACCCTATAATAGAACTTTTTTAACTCATTGCTCAACATTTTACTAGCCCATTTTCTACATTTTATCCATTATTTAATCCATTCAATTATGTTACCAATTATTCCATGTGCTTGTAGTATCTAACATGTGATACCTTGTCAGATATCTTTGAAAAGTTCATGTACATAAATTATTCCATGTTATCCAAATTAAAACCTCTTACCGGTGAGCTACAAGACACAAAAACAATGGAAACTCTTCCTGCACCATCACATGCAAGTGTAGATAGTTTCGGTCTTACACACGCACACAGTAGACATGAAGAATGGTCAAAAACCATGTGTTTCTGCTGGAGATTTACAGAATGCTTGTTAACTCTCATACCTCCTTTGCCATCACAATATGTGCACTGTACTAGTCAAAAGCATCGTACTGCCTATGGTACAGTGTTGTTTAATTTTTTTTTTTTTTTACCGAATATAATTTTATATAATATACTGTAGAATTAAGAGAAGTTTCTATCATAAATGGAAGATACAATTATTGTACTGTAAACCTTTACAATTTCTAGCTAATATTTTTAATTTTAGTGTAACAAGCATTAATATTTCCAAAATCAGCAGCATAATTTTTAGTAAGTTACCATTCAAGTTAACTTAATACTGTTTCTAATTGGAATTCCAACCACTATAGTACAGTATATACTGTATACAGTACTTGCACAAAATGAGGTCTTAACTTCCCTTTTTATTAATGTTAGCCTCAAAATTAGTAACTCTGACTGATAGAACATATGCCTAGTTTCTCAACCAAAAATAAAACATTCAGATTTACAAACAGTAGAAAAATATCAAATCATGAACTCTTAACTTACCTGTATGAGGTCCTCTTTGTCAGTGTCATGGTTCATGGTCCCCAGGGTCATCTATGTGGGCTCTTGGCTTGCTCACACCTCTGTACAACACAAAACACTTAACATACAGCAATATTAACAATACAAGCAGCCCTTCATTTGCACATGGGGCTGTAAAACGTGTAATTACCTAAGTGTAATTATCTAAAAGTATAGTACAGTGCTAGTCATTGAATGAGAGCTCTGCTCATGGTGTCCCATTGTCCCTATAATCTTTATCATATGACACTTTGAAACTAATGTACTGTACTATGGATGTGGCATCCACCACTTTCTCATTTAAATTGTAACAAACTTTTATAACTCTGAAGTTGCCAATGGCTTCTTGGCTCTTGAAGTTGAAGGTTTAAAAAATTCCTCATTAACAAACGTGTCGATTCCTGATACCATTTGTACGTGGCGATTGTCTCGTCTCTTTTTCCTTCTACAGTATCTTTTCCAATTTTGGCATATTTAGTGCTATTAGCCACTCCTCATATTCTTATTTATTAGTGGCTGGAAGACATTTAGTAGCATGTTTCATGCACTTTCTACCTTACTGATTTGCTTTTTTTATATGGACATTACACAACTGCTGCATATGCCAACTTTTATCTCACTAATGTCGTTAATTTTTTTTCCGCTTTTCTCCATCCATATAGTTAAACATGATTCTAGAAATTGCTAGTGTAGTGTAAGCTTTTCACAAAACACTTTTGATGTGATTCTCTGGCAACAGTTAACTATCCAGAAAAACACCCATCCAGTGGGTGTGGTGGAACATTTACAATAGTGTGCATGTAGTAGTTACTTCATGTAGATTATGAGATTATCTTGAGATGATTTCGGGGCTTTTTAGTGTCCCCGCGGCCCGGTCCTCGACCAGGCCTCCACCCCCAGGAAGCAGCCCGTGACAGCTGACCAACACCCAGGTACCTATTTTACTGCTAGGTAACAGGGGCATAGGGTGAAAGAAACTCTGCCCATTGTTTCTCGCCGGCGCCTGGAATCGAACCCAGGACCACAGGATCACAAGTCCAGCGTGCTGTCCGCTCGGCCGACCGGCTCCCTATGTAATATATGCATGTACTGTGTGTTACTGTAGTTACCTACAGTGACACAAAGAAATCACAATAGCATGATGCATCAAAAGAACAAATCCACAAGTTGAACTCCCAGTTGTAATTCTTTCATCATGTCGTTGCACAGTTGATTAAGGCACATCTGGGATCCTCTTGGATGTAGGCTCGAACCCTCATCACGGCCTTAGTGGATTTGTTCATTTACCAACAGTAAGTAAACTTGGGATATTTGGCTAAGATTTCTGACATTACAGTACATCATTTTGAATGAAATACTGTACACATTTCTTAAACATTTGCGAAGTTATTTTTTTAATTGATAGATGATATTTTACATTTATTTTTAAATAATCTTGCAAAATAAGCCTTATATAACGGTACTGTACCCAGCTTACTTTTTTAAAATGTGTATGTGTATATATATTACTCACATTAAGAACGTTCATTATTTTATAAATCTGTTCACATGCGAGTTTCTCATAGCTGCAGCTACAAAAAATGTATGAGGTGGAAACGAGTGCTTCGTGTCCAATTTATATTCAAAATATTGTAGAATAAAAGTGGCAATGCTGAAATACAATTTTAACCTTTACAGTGACTATGGAGAAATGATCATATGCACAAAAAATATAAAAATGCCTAAAAAAAAATAAAATTATAAAATTATAAATTTGAATGCAAAATGTAAGAAAAATACAAAATAAGTGAATATTTATCCTTTCACTGGGTTGAGGCGCTCGGGAAGGGTGTGTGGTGGCTGTGTCTGGTGCCTGTCAACACCCAGTGCCTGACTCTGTTGATGCTTTCAGAGTTATCCTCTGATGTTTTACCGATTGTTTTTCATTTGTTTCTCTTTATTTACATGTGTTTGTGTGTTGAATAACTTGATAAATTCCATAATTGATGTAACACAATTGTTTCAGCAACACAATTGGTGATTGGTTTACCTGGTATACTGTACTTCCTTACAATCGTAGAGAGTAGTGAATAGGATATAAACATAATATATGATTGCATTAGGCTCTGAACGATGATATATGGACTAATTGGCATCATATGGGAAAGAGAATAGATTGAAAGAATGCCGAAAGCCACAAATGTGGCACACGCGCATGACGGCAGGCTCCTCCTAGTACACGTAACCATGAAACGGTACCAGGATTTTTTTCGTGGGTCAATGTAAATTTCATTACATCCACAGAGTGCTATTATACTTATATTTGCATCATACATGTAAATCACAGACAGTAATTATTTAAATAGTCGTATGACGATGACCGCATTCCCCCTAGTAACATTCATGACAATAACTGCATTCACCTATACATAACAATGAAATGGTAGCAGGATTTTTTTTCATGAATCCAGACAAATTCCATTACTGTACATCCATATAGTTATTACAGTGTATCCATATTTGTATCATACATGTAAAACTCAAACAATAATTGTTCAAATCGTCGCATGATGATAACTGCATTTCCCCGTGAATCAACGAATGACGATAACCGCTATCTAAGGGTTGACGTGGTGTTAAAGTCAAGTAACACCATCTAGTAAATCAAGGCAAATATGAACAACAGTAATTTAGCTACAAATCTTGGTTACCACGGAGTTCACAAAAGTCACGATATCATACCAAAATATTTGTTTAAGGAATATTTAGGTAGTTCACATAAATATTAATCTAATAATCAAAAGCATATGCTACTATTTCTTGCTTTCTTATCTTTAACAAATCTTATAGAAATTGTATCTCCCTCAAACGATTTTGAAATAAAACATTCTAAAGAACTACTGTGTGATTTTTGCAGATCATATATTCTAATACATACAAAAGTGTTGCTCTTAGACTAAAATGTTACTGATATATGCGCAGTAAACACTTTTCGAATACTATACTACAAAACACTGATCTAATGGACTGCATGTTTCCTGTTAACAATCCTGTAATCAAAGTTACAAATATTGAAATAATGATAGTAATTGCTCCTGACTAATGAATATGTTCATAATATTGTGTAAAATTATTGTAATCAATATTACATTATATATTAGCAGCATGTGCATGGATGCAAAATGTATGAATGTACTTAATTGAATTGCTAAGTTTCTTTTAAGCCACTAAAATCTGCAGCTAAAATATATAACCACAAAGTATTTATTACCGAGCATTTTTAATATAGAAACATAACAAACTGCATCAATTTGATGTGTCACAATCTATGGTGACTTTAAATCTTCCATTCAAACAGGGCTGGAATAAACACGAAATGTATAAGTGACACTTTCAATTTGTATATGAAATGGGGTAGTTAATGAGTAAACATAATGGAAGGAGGTACCGTGGGGGGGTGTTGGCAGTCAATGTTGACTGTAACTGCTTAGGGTGACGTGATAAGTCTCCCCTTCTGCGCAATGCTCCCAACCCCGCCGGGGCCTTTGCACAAACATTCGCTCACATAAGACGCCCTCTTTCTACAAGTGAATCCCCTAAAATATTACAGATAGCAAGAACATACCTCAGACTAAATATCAAACCTTAAGAACGACGAGAATCTTGGAACTTTCCTAGCATTCTCTGGTGAATATGGCGGTCTTGTTAGCCAATCAGGATCGAGCACAGAGATTTTCAGTAGGACAACTATATCATTTTTATCTATGTAAATGTATATCTTAATTTGTTATTTAAAGATAAAACTTATAAGGCTTAAATAGGTAAGACTGATATCATAAGTAATGATAATATATTTATTTTATGTTTTGTCTTTCTTATTTGTTCTCTGAAACTATAGGTTTACAGTTGCATGTTTACAGTTCCAGCTGATAGAGCAGTGTGTGTCGACCATCCGTCATTGGTGTGTGGCAACCGCGACGTCAGAGGCGAGGAAGTATGGCCAAGGTTGGCACCCAAGATGTTTCTTACCTTCAGTTCGCTCAGTGGTGTCGTTTGAGAATAGTTGAGTATGTGGGCAAGTGAGCTGTGGGTTACGTGAATTGACTTGCTTATCCAATGTGTCTCGGTATGCTTTGATATCCTGCAAATTTCAAATGCATATGATGAGAACAGTTCCCCCGTACAAAGTGTAGTTTGCATTGTCAAGTAGATGCTGATATCTATATTTTGTAATTAATCTCGGGAATTGACACACTTAAGCAGTCAGCACAAATATATATAGTTGTGTACCCAAAAGCAGTGAACAGTTATTGAGTCAGGCTTTACAATTATAATTTGCGATACAACTGGGGAGCACAAGTTGTCATTCAAGAAGGCCTTTGCCAGTACGCCAGCGATTCTGCTGCCCCTGGACTTTCATATCACGTATCAGCCCACAGCTGCATCACATATCTCTATTAAACGGGAATGCACAGTTAGCCAGATGTCTACTGTTGCTCTGGAAAGGCAGTACCGGTGGAAGCCTAACCTGCAAGACCTCGGTTCACGCCTCCAACCACCTGGTTCTCTTTCTCGCCCCACCTGCATTTTCAACTACCCAAGACCATCCGCTAACTCCATATCTGCAGCACACATAGTTGGTCCCCAAAATCCAACTACATCAGTTTTCTCCCACTCGTTTCAGAGCCAGTCGCCTTTACAATCCCACACTCAGAGTTTGTATCACCCAAGCCCGTCTGCACTGATATCCCGGCCCAGTTTGGTCACCCAACATTCTGCAACACAACCTCTACATAAACCCAGACTGGCCCTTGGGATGCACGCTCAAGATGCTTCGGCTGGCCTCGCCGTCGGCACTATAGAGGACCTTGTTTCTGCAAGGAAGCTGTCATCTGAGGCTCTCGCGCCAGATCTTGACTACGCACTCAATGGTTTCTCTTCCGGCCCTCGGCAGACTACCTGCAGTCTTATTAACACTACTGCCACCACGGCTTCGTGTCGAGACGGCGAGACCATCTACACCACCGCCAGCACTACCACTCCTGTAGCCAACTTCAGTGCCAGTGCAAAGGAATCCACAGAATCTTCAGATGAAAATCCAAGTAGCTACTGCTGTAGAGGCAGAAGCTATGGGAAGTGCAGCAGAAGCATCGTGACCACCAAGAACAAGGGCGGCTGCCCTCGACGGAGACTCATCGACGAGGACGGCTACATCAGAAGGGCAGCTTGTGTTTGTGTCAACAAGGAAGAAACTCAGGTACGACTCGCTCATTTATTAATGGTTTTAGTATGTTAGTTACTCATTCGTCGTCGCCCCCTCAAACAACAGAAACTGTGTTAGCTGCTGCCTAAGAATGAGCCTACTAAATGAAACGAGTAATTGTAAAACTCGCAATGTACATAGTTGTTCTCAATTACTATATAGTTTAGAAAGTTACAGAAAATATTAGTTTATATTGCACTGCCGGCACGTATCCAGTCAGGGCCACAATGTTGGTTTAGCTCTAGTAAGTTATACTGTGGGGTACTGAGCTATTTACAATTGTCAATGTTTACAAGATAAGTTTTTAGGTGAACTACCGATTAACTACCATTCGCAAGACTAGCGAGTGGGGGGATGGTAAACTACCATCGTGAGATGAGTATGTCGAGCTCGATAAACTATCCTGCAGTCTTCTTCTACCCTTCTTCTTGAGGTTATCTTGACGATTTCGGGGCTTTTTAGTGTCCCCGCGGCCCGGTCCTCGACCAAGCCTCCATCCCCAGGAAATAGCCCGTGACAGCTGACTAACTGCCAGGTACCTATTTACTGCTAGGTAACAGGCGCATCAGGGTGAAAGAAACTCTGCCCATCGTTTCTCGCCGGTGCCCGGGACCCAACCCGGGACCTCAGGATCACGTGTCCAGTGTTCTCTCCGCTCAGCCACTGGCTCCTGCAACTATATAATATAAAACAATGCGACAATATAAACAACAATAAAATATAACAAATATAAAAATTGAGTATAAAAAAAGCCATGGTCAAAATAAATCGTATGGTTTATATATTATCTAGCATGGCTAAACATATAAAGATGTCAATATTTACTGTTCTCAGGTTGTTAGTTGGCAAGAGCACTTACAGCATTCTGGTTAATTAACATTGTTAATTAACATTGTTAATTAACAATCGCCATCTGCCAATCTTTTGACCATTTTCAAAACCCTATTTAGATCAACTTGAAGTGATAGTAAGTCTTCTTCCGTGTTAATTTCCCTACCGATTTTTGTATCATCGGCAAATTTGCAAATGTTGCTACTCAAACCTGAATCTAAATTAGTTTATATATATTATAAACGACAGAGGTCCCAGGACAGATCCTTGAGGCACTCCACTTACAACATTTTCCCATTCTGACTTAACCCCATTTATACTAACTCTGTTTCCTTTGGTATAGCCATGCCCTAATCCAACTTCATATAGCACCCCCAATACCATGAGCCTCTATCTTTTTAATCAATCTTTCATGTGGCACTGTATCAAAAGCTTTGCTAAAGTCAAGGTACACAACATCGCAAACCTTACCAAACTTGGTAACAATTTGACAAAACATATTTGCTAGACTGAAATAAGTTTGATTGTGTAAGCCGAGAGAGTGAGGAACGTGTCCGTATTAAGACTATAATTGTTGAGGTGCACACTTTTTCAGGGAAGGCAGCTGAAATATTGTATGAAAGTTTGAACCGTGTGTAAAAGTTGCTACATTAGCAGCGTCAAGTGTTTTCAACTCGGGTGGGGGACCCGAGAACGATTAGTGTTGCCTTTCATGGGACACCATAATGTCAGGGCTTGGGACGTGCGAGGCTTCAAGGCAAGCTAGTTAGTGGCGGCGAAGGAAGGATTTCCTGCTGGAATTAATCGGAGCCTTTCCATATAATTATTATATAGTGATAATAGCATAACACTTTCCCCTGATAATTATCTTATGTCTCCTTATAGCCTATTTCAGAATCATTGGTTTCCTTAATCGTGTGTATTTTTCATACATTTTTGGGATAATATTTTTGATGTGTAAATGGCAGATTTCATCCTTCATGGTGGTACAGTATATTAGCATTGCTACAGCCGGTTAAGATAATAAAACGGATACCTAGACTGGAAAACATTGAATCATTAGTTTACTTCAGCGTGTTAACTTTCTCTTCTGATAAGTTACCAAATAACAAATGTTAAAGAACGTTGAATATAAATTCTCGTTTAAATATGCATGTAGATGAAAATGGGCTTTTTTATTTGGCAATAATAATAATAACAACAACAAAAAACTGGACATCGTATGTTAGAACATGTAATCTTAGATACGGTAAATGTTTTGTATTTTTCTCCTTTACTCTTTTTTTCCAAAACTAATTATTGGCAGGGATAAAATGACACGCATACCCACATTGCCAACTATGTGGGTAACTTTCACCTACAGATCTCTTACTGACTTCTCCCTTACACAATAACAGTAGTCCGGGTCTCGTAGCACATTCGGCTTCGTTCTCGAATCGTAATTGGGGGGGGAGGCTCCTGCCAGGGCCAGATTCACGAAAGCACTTACGCAAGCACTTACGAAGCTGTACATCTTTTCTCAATCTTTGGCGGCTTTGTTTACAATTATTAGACAGTTAATGAGCTCCGAAGCACCAGGAGGCTGTTTTTAACAATAACAACAGTCGAATGGGAAGTTTTCATGCTTGTAAACTGTTTAATAAATGTAACCAAAGCCGTCAAAGATTGAGGAAAGATGTACACGTTCGTAAGTGCTTGCTTAAGTGCTTTCGTGAATCTGGCCCAGAAATGGTTAGACACGTTTCCTTTCACTTGATGTGTCTGTTGATCTAGCAGTAAATAGGTACCCAAGAGTTAGGCAGCTGTGTGCGCCCGCTTCTGTTCCAGGTAAATCCACTACGGGCTCACCATAGCCCGTGCTACCTGGAACTTTTTGTTTAGAGTAGCAGAATCTAAAACAACAATAATAGGTAGCTGTTATGGGGCTGTTTCGTGAGGAGGGTCAGTAGCTCGATCTTTGGGGTACCTCGATATCAATGTAAAGTACATAATGTATATGCACAGGCTTCTTGTCCCCGACAATTAACTTGCATTTCTTCTCGGCTCTGAACTGGCATTCATTATAGATGCATGAAATTTAGTCTTGGGTACATAATGATGTAACCGGTAAATTTAGCTTTTCCGTTATTTAAAATGGTGTCAGTTCTTGTTTACCAACTACACACTCCTTAACTGTCCTTAGCTGTTAAATATAATCCTTCAACTTAACCCCTCATTTAGCATTAACCATTAGGCCTACGTAAAATGTGGCAATTGTGTGCGCCACATTTTAACTCCCCCCCCCCCCCCCCACAGGGTTAGTCATTTTGTAACCCAGTTCGGGCACCTGTAGCGTGTCCGAATTCATGAACGTTGTGAACTTGAAGTAATTCGTTTCATTCACTCGGACCATCGAGCATTTTAACTAGGCTAGAAAATACGCGACCGTTAAACAGATGACTAAAGAGGTGTGATGACTAGTATTTTTGTGTGCATTTTATTTTGAAATTTTGTATCTGTAACTGAATGTAATATTTTGTGACGTGTGGAAAGTTTCAGTAAGTTCAGTAGAACTTCGGTTTCAACTCTTTTTGACCATGTCGTAGCTCAGTCGATTAAGGCAGCGTCTGGGATTGCTCTTGGACGCAGGTTCGAATCCTCGTCACGGCCCTTGTGGATTTGCTCATGCTATGAAAGTTATATATGTTAGTAGAAGGGAGAAGAGGACTTGTATTAATTATAGCGTGTGACCGTTAAGTAGTGTCCACTTCATTATTCCTAGACCCTGTCACATGTTTCCATTCTGCGAGATGTGATTGTTTTCTTGTATCCAGTTTGAAGTAATTATTTTTGTCCTATCGACCATTTCTGTCTCACTCGGGATCCCTGGCTGTGAATCTAGAACGAAACTAACTGCACTAAGAGACCCTGATATGTTTAGTTTGTTCGGTGTCTATTTCATGCTGATTTTTGTAGTCTACAAGGATGACACGGCGTTGTGGTTTTTATGTTTGTCAATATTAGAACAGGAGAAGTAGAAGTGCAAGGACAGAACCTATAATGGCGCTAAACTTTCAGTTCTACTCGGATTGGATTTAGTTTGGGGTGCTATTATTCTCTGACCTGTTTTTCTGGATATATATTATCTATCGCCCTATTTTCTGTTATTACGTTGAGTCTAATTTTGTATACTTTCACTTCATGGCAACTGTTATCAAATGCCATTGCAAAGTCCGTGTTATACAACATCCGCATTTTGATGTTCTGCTGGTGTTTTGTGATTGGTCAGTGAATTGCTTAGGGTAGGATCTTCCAGCTCTAAATTCACGGTGACCAGGCATGTGTAGTTCGTTTTATTTTTTTATAAAACTGCAAAAATTATGGGAAATTTAAATCTCTGACTTTAAATGTATGATGTTTGTAAGGCGCTTATTTAGTTTTTGACATTGCTTTTATATTTTTCTTGTGGATTTGGTTGATACGAAGTGACAAATATAACCGAGAATGGGTTGGTGCATGATCGGTTGTTAATTTGTTTTAAGTTTGGGGGTTTAACAGCAGTTGTTGTCTAAATTGATAACATTTTGAAATATTGTTGGGGGTCTTCATCATTCGTGTTTTTGAATGTCGGATTTAGCTCATTTCTTTGTCTTCCTTTGTGTGAATCTCATATTTGAATGTATAGTTCCATTATTGGTGCATAGTTTTTTTATTACTGGTGGGAAAATGTCATTTTTATCATCGTTAGTGTGGCTTTCTGTTCCATTTACAGTTCTTCAGTTTGGTATGAGAGCTTTAGCTTCTTTCTGTAATTACCATATGCATATATTTTTTTAATATACGCAATTGAGCGTTTCGGAAAAAGCTTTATTTTTATAGTGCTTTCTGGGTTATCAAAGTCGGTCTTCCTTTGATCCCCGTAAAAAACATATTTCATGTCGATTTTATATGTTCCGGCAGTCAATATTTTTTTATTCCTGGTTTGATAGGTTTGTGTACTTAGAATGGTTCACATGCAATGGTCAAGTGTCCCCCTCCCCAGTTAGTGCCTTTATTGTTGAAATTTTATTTACTGAACGTCTTTCAATTTATTTCGTTTGGTTGTATTAATGTTTTGTTTGGATTTCCGGGTTTGTGATCAGAGTGTTTTTCTTTATTAAATAATATTCAATATGAAGATCATA